TATATGCAAACATTTATCTTCCTCAAAACTTAAAAGTTATATGAAAGATTCATATCAATGATTTTCAGTTATGGATTTATGGGTTTTATTTTATTACTGGCAATTGTTACAATTTCAATAAATTTGCTGCTTGTTGCTACTTGATAACAGGCATATGCTAAAACAAACAATGAAGTACCTTGTTTCCAAAATATATAATTATTTCAATCATAAATGCTGTAGGTTTAAGACCCTACTGTTCTATAAGTCATTTTATATAATACTAAAGTGCTATTAAAATCAGTTTCATAAAAATGAACATATTGGGAGAGAATGTAAAAGTCCAAAATTGTTATTTCATTTTAACTCGATTCATTGTTACAGGCAGGCAATATTGAAATGTTGAACCCCATAATAGTCCAAAGGAATTAATGGAACAATGCATGCATTTTCATAGGCACAAAATAAGACTGTAATTTAAGGAAGAAGAAATTATTTCAATCATTATCACGTTATTATTGTGAAAGAATTATGTGCTATAATTCACTACCTAGGACAGGTGATATATCCAACTATAGAACAGCGTCACTTGAACCGGAAATAACAGAATGGATCACTAGAAGAAAGTATTTTAAAAATACTGTACACTGCTTCCTCAATTGCACAGCATATGTAAACAAACAGCTAACTCAACAGAGTTTTAAATATTACTTGAAAGAGGTTGTTCTTTTTGCCTTTTGCATAACTCCCTAGGTTTATTCTTTCACATTCTCATAATGCACGTATCACAGCTATTGGTGGCTCATTAGGGATATATGCCAGCTCAAAGGCTAGCCTTCTCTAACCTAGCACCCTTCAGATGTTTTGGGATTCTAACCCTCAGGAATCCCAGTCAGAAAGTCCCAACGCATCTGGAAGATGCAGGCTAGAAAAGCTATGCCAGAATTGATAGTGGAGCTCGGCCGATAAATAAATAAACGGAAGCCTAACAGCAAAGACAACAGACTCTGATTCCTTGGCCAATAACTGCTAATACTTGGAAAGCTAGGTAGCAGACCTATATTGTTCAGTGGACTTTCTTTCCTGTTATCGAACATAGTACTGTACTGCTGTATAAAGATATGACTTTATACTGCAGGTGTGGAAAGACTTTGACTTCAGGGCCTCACGTAGTTGTTGTTGTTTTTTTGTACATGATTGCTACAAACTGACAGCAGAGTTTCAGGTAGTAAACATACATAAACTGTTGTGCGAGGCCTAAATTAAGGACAACACAATAGAAAACATTTTTAAAAGATAATAAAGGGAAATCCCAAAATGCCACTCCCTAAACCCAGATCTGGCCCTGTATATGTTGTGGCTTTCAAAGCCCACCTGTCCCATGTTAAAAGTGGCCTTTGACTCACTAAAGGTTGTCCTCCCTGATATAGTGCTAGATCCAAAAGTTGATCTAATATCCCATTATGTAAAAAATAACATTGGAATATTCTGGTGTCTCTTGTTCAGTTTGTAAATGTAGCCCTCTTCTTATTCTGAATTCTTGGTTAGCATTTATCTAGATATTATTATGATGGTATAAAAGTAAGTACACTATGTTGAATTGAATTCATCTTGAAATTTTGTCTTTCCTTTTCCATGGCTGTGCAATTAGTAATTTTATAGATAACATTTCAGATTATGAATTAAAAGTTTGCATGGTTTGATGTTTTTACTTTAGAGGCTAATACAGCATACCATACAGGATTCTAAAAACAGATATCCAGAGCACATTCTGAAACACAGGAAGTATTCAAGTGAGTATCAAAAGAGCCATCATGGTTTTAGAGAAAATGGGAACATTCACATCACTAGTTTCAGTGTTCAATGTAATGCATTTATCTTGTTATAAATACAATCTTTAAAAAAAAATGAAAATAAGGGTACATCTGTTTCCATACTCTAGAAAAGTTGCTTATTTTAGCAGGAAAATGCTTCATTTGCTTACTTATTCTTGAGTTAGCAGCATCAACTATGCAGAAATGAGCATTTTAGTGTTCAATTATTGCTGTTTGATAGCTTATGGAAATAATTCCATAATAATTTTTCCTGTAGAACGCAACCTCTAGTTTACTAATGCTGTATTCTAAATTCCATACAGCATCTCAATTTATGAATATCTTAACAGAAAATATATTCTGAACTATTAACTGATCCTTTATATACTTTTTCAATGCAGAAGATAAGAGGGTAAATGACATAATATCCACGATCAGTCCTGGTGATTAAAATGGAATGCTAAAGTATGCTTTATAAATTATACAAAGAGTACATTTTTTATCATATGTATAAACTGTAAGTTCAATGAGATATGATTTTAAAATAGGTATACTTCCTAAGAATTATTCTCTGTAATTCCAATGATTCTGCGGATTCCTGCCTTCTGTTCCTGTGGGCAAGGAATATTTTATCCCAAAGATGCTTTTTTCCAAGCGGCAACTGCCTTTTGGGAAAAGCACCTTTGGGATAACCAGGACCTGGATGACCAAGAATCTCCATAGACATTAAGGAATATTTAAATAGTAAAAAAAAAACCATAGTACTAAACAATGTTTCTTTTTCTGTGATTTTTAACAGCAAAACACCCATGGTAATTTATGAAAAATGCACATTCAAATACACTTTTCTTAACAAAAGCCACAATATATGCCTTTGCATTTTTTTACAAGTCTGCAAGTATTTCAAAATAGGTTCCATTCCCAGGAAGCATGTAGATTGTGCTTTGGTAGAAACGGCTATTTTTTTTGCGTTAAAAAAGTATAAATGCTGGCACTCCTGCCAGAATTTGGCTTTTGTCACACTAGGGATACTAGGAGTTCTGCTTGTCAATTTGTTATCAAGCTAGGGCCCATACATTATCATTACCGTAGGTCAAGACATTGTCATTGAAGGCAAACAGTAAAATTCAAAGGATGATTTGAATTGTTTTTATAAATCCACTTAGGAGTTCTTTTACACAGTCAGCGCAAATGAAATTGAATAATTCAGTAGTTTAAGAGAATAACGTTGATCTAGTCTGGGCTTATGTCCAAAGCAGAAATAAGCAAGAATGATAATACATTTTGACTTATTTAAAATAGGTCTATTTCATCTGAGGTCATTGAAATATTGTTTGAATGAATTACTTTTAGAGACCCTATTCAAAATTATACAAGATTATTTCATATCTTGAAAAATCTGGAATGATTGTGGTAGTATGAAAAAAGGCATTAGTAGTAAAAGTAAAAAGAAACCCTTCTTAGACACCATTTTGTGCATGGATCTGAAATCCCATATGAGCTAGGAAACATGTTTGAAAAAGAATGGCTAATGACTAAAACATCTACTTGCACACCATATTTCTTTGTTGTAGAAAAGTTTTATCTAACACACACACACAAGCTCTAATAAAAATGTGCATTGTGCAATTATTTACAACAATTTAATTAAAGTTGGGCCTTAGAATAATAGCTGAGATAATGAAGATGGAGAATAGCATGAAAGTCACTTGAGTGGGGCAATGTGCATTACATTTTATAACTAAAATCAATGCACAGCTGCTTTCAATAAGATCTGTGGCTGTATTTTGCCCCCAGCTGCTATCAGATAAATTAGGACTTTGGAAACTCTCAGAGTTCTGTGTTTATTGTGGTACCTTCCAAAGTTCTGGAGAACATCCACATTCCTTGATCCCTGCCAAACTTTTTGGGATTAACAGGAGCCGTGACTCAAAACAAAGGAGAGTATCCTTGCTCTATCCTGTTTTGGAAGACTGCTTTCACACATAGATTTATTCTGAATGCTTACAATTGAAAAAAGGAATTTAGACAGCCAACTCAAATTAATTCTTAAAATGTTTTCTAAAATATCACTGATGTGAGTGTGATACATAAATTGAAACTCCATAACTATGCCATCTGCCTATTATCCTCTAGGAGCCATGCTTAATTCTTGCACCCAAGAGGGTTATTGCAAACATTATTGAGGAGTAGACCTGAGGACAATGAAACTTCCACATTCCACTCTTACATGGTATAAAATCTCTTCCCTTTGCCCTTCTAGACAATGGAAGCATACTTAAAAGAATGGCTTTTGAAACAATCCGAAGTCTTAATTTCACTTACGCTAACTAACCTCTCAATCCTTTAATATTTTCAGATAATATCATCATTCAATACCTCCAGAAATAAATGGTAGAACAATTAGAAGAGCAATGAAATGCAAATATGCCCAATGAAATCCAAACACTTGGGAGGGGGGGGGGGAGAAAGATAGAAATGTTGTACAGAACAGTAAGAATACAATGTTGCCTCTGGACTGTTTTCATCCTCTCGTGTAACATTTTAAGGAGGCTCCATGGACTTCTTTCTAAACTAATAGATGTAATTACAAAAATAAGTATTTACTATTCCACTTAATTACAATCTTCCTGAGCTTGGTCAGCTGTGCGAAAAAGCCTGTTTAATACAGGAACCACATGATAATGTATTACATAAATTTCCCCCTTTCCCTCATGCTGCTATATAAAAGGCATCTTTTTACTTCCCTTCTTGAAAATATAACATTTGTGGCACTACAAGTTGTCAGTACAAAAAAAGACGTGTGAACCATGAGAGTGAAAAGTGGGAATTGATAGGTTTGTCTTCTATAATGCAATTCAAAGATACTGCTTCCTAAATTATCACAAATGTACTGATGTAAACAACAACAGAATCATAATTAAAACATCCACTTTAGATGCATGTTATTTTGTTTCTTTAAAAAAAAAACTATTTCTATTTGGAAAGGCAGATTTCTTAAACTATTTACCCATTTATGCACGATGTCATAAAGCTTTTTTTTAAAAATAATGTCTTTAAAATCTTCCCTCCCACCCATCCCACCCCTTATTAAGTGCAAATGCCATCTGGGTCAAGAGGCAGAATCTCGGTGGCTGGCACTGAGATTAAAGAGGGCTAATTCGACTGGTGGTAGAAGCCAGCTTTTTGCTGACGCATCATAATCTGAGGTTACTTCATTCTGCTCAAGAGAAGGACCAAAGAGCAGATGTCATCTCTAGCAATATTTGCTCTCAAAGCTCCGGAATGCATCTGTTCTAGAGAGTCTTCTCATTGACAAGGTGTCTCCTGTACTTTCTGGCTTGGATGACTTGCTCCTCTGAAACGTATTTCGAAGGCTGGCCGCATTGCGTTGCCTATCAAGTTTGTCACTGATGGAGTAGCTTTTCCGTGTGTGCACGTAGAGTAAGTTGGATTCATCTGCAGAATAACTATTGGCCCGCTCTATTTTAGGAAGCAGAATATTGTTAGACAAGGTCCTAGATGTATTGCTATCTTGAGGTGACAAGGAAACTGCTTTTTTGTCTTTGGCTTCAGTGTCCTCATTGTCAGAACTTGGGTGACTTAGTTCGGCTTCTCTCTCTGGATGGCAGCATCCCAAGTCATCCATCTTATCTCCATGGGTCCCAGGAAAGCTTGACCTTTCTGCAATGGTTTGAGGAGCACTGACACACCTTGTATCAATGCAGTCGGTAATGCTAGTGTACTCTGCTGTTTTGACCGGTACTCCGAGACTGCTGAAATAACTCCGGGAAGGAGAGAACATAAAACTTTGAGATTTTACTATAGGTGCCTCTTCTAAAATAAAGGGGCTTGTAGCCAGGTATCGACTACTTTTAGAACGCTCTAAGGTATGATATAGAGGGGGATCCAATTCCCAGGGGTTTTGGCTGTCTGTGATTTGGGAATAATCTGAAGAAAGCACCCTTGTTTCCAGTGAAGAAGGCTCTTCATACTCAATACTTCTGCCTGAGATTCTATCACCAGAGGTACCACTGACATAAGCACTACTCGAGAGAACACTGGAAGTTATCTGAGCTTGAAGAGTGGGGTCTCCGGTCCCAAGGATGTTCATTGAACTGTCCAGGGGCTCTATTCCCGACTGCAGCTCGTCCATGGCAGACACATATATATCAATGCAAGAGGAAGGCCTCCGAGAATCTGGAGCAATAGACAAAGTGCTTACAGGCACTAATGAAACTTTTGGTTCTTTTGAGACTGAGTGAGAGCTAGTGGCACGATGAAGGCTCAGAGACCTTTCTTTCAAAATACTTTCAAATTTCTCAAGCCCACCCTTCTCCTTCATATTCATCGCATAGAAGGAGTGACTTCGCAGTCGAGGTGTTAACGTTGGAGAGGTGGGGGATATTGATTCTTCTCCCGTGGGATCAATACTCTCTTGAAGTTTGTACGTGTTTCCTTCCTGGCTGTTGAAGCTACTTTGCCTCACAATGTAAGCTGCGTCAGTACAGTCAGAAGATGTTCGAGACCGTATCTTACTGGTCTCTCCTCTGTCCACGCCAGAGATTTTGTCCAGTGCTGTGGCCATTCGCCCAATCATATCTTCCAGCTGAGCAAGCCGTATATCTACAGTCTGAAGCGAGGCCTTCATGCAATGCTCTCGTTCGTTCACTTCCTCTAATCGCATTGCCATATTCTCTACTCTGCAGGAAGAAGAGAGGGAAAAAAATGTTTTGATAACATTCAGTAGGGCAAGCAGGTTAGCTTAGTTATTTCTAAACCAGTTTACTTAATCAGGAAAACTGATAATAATGTAAATAGTATGCTATTAATATACTGATATGCACACTAAAAAAATTAATCCTCTTTTAAAAAATAAACAATTAGAATAGGTTACTGAGTAACTGGAATGATAAATCCATTTACTGCTTGTCCCCTCAATGATTTTATCAACACATATTTAAACAAGAATTTGCATTTTGCTTCTGATTAAAGTTGTGAGATGCATTGATGTCCTTTAAAAAAAAAACTACACATCTTAAAATACAGGCTTTTAGAGCTGTTCTATATAAATTTTTATAGATTTAAAATGTGTAAACATGAGATTTACAGATCTACTGTATGTTATGCAGGCTCACATGCACAAAGACAAAAATATTGATTTGTGGTATAGAAATATTTCCATTCTATGGGTTTTATGTGGCGAACTCCTTAGTAATTACAAAACCTATAGAAAGTAGTAACTGATTTATCAAACCACTAAAATTGCACAGCTATACAGATTTTGAAAACTGCCAGGAAGTTGGAAAAGTGCCTAATTCTTGTCAAATGAATATGATGGCAACAAGTGATCCCTGAAGAAATAAATTTAGGGTGTCATGATATCCTCAACCCTCAGTTATATTATTTATAAAAGCAGACTTCACACAACCCAATGTTCTACCCAAAAAATGAGTCTGAGATTCAGGGATGATTTCCAATTCACCAAGAAGAGAAGAAAGAGAAAAAAAAAGTGGGATATGCATACCTGACCTGGATAAGACCAAAGGCCCAATCAGATGAGATCTCTCCCCTACCCCCCCCCCCCAAACAGGATTCTGCCATGCATATCGGGAGGAGATTTGGGTGTCACTTGCACTGGAGTCAGAAACAGCCCTTTCCTCCCATGTATTTCATGCTTTGTTCTCACCTTCCCCAATTTGATAATAGGATAAAGAAAGACTTGACACATAGCAACTAAACCTATATTTTTGTATTCTAGGTATGTTTTAGACTTTATGTTCTACTGATGATTGAGGTCTCTATTTTAGCCAGACTTAACCAAGTAATCTAAACCAAGGATTTTTACTTGGAAATATGCTTAATTTTTGTGGAAGGGTTTTCTGCATAAACACCACTTTATGACAATTCCAAAATAGTTTTAACATCTTTTGATTACTATTAGTTTGCAGCCAATAAAATATTGTGAAACTTTTAAACCACTTTTTTGTTTTAAAACAACAAAATGAAAAATTCTACGATTACAATTTTCAAAACATACAATATCTACAAAGCCAAACAAAATGCTGTGCACCTTTCAGAAGTTACACGGATTCTCTCATCATTGGAAGAATTAAATCTATCGTCTTTCTCTCTGAAATATTCTTCTATGCACTGTTCTTCAAAATCATGAACCTTCTTCAGTTCATCATCTGTTATAAAAAGTTCTATAGGAGACATACAAGGCAATAAACAACAGTCAATAACTAATTAGTTGTAAGTATAGAGCACTGCCTATTTTATTTTTTTTACAACTGAAATCCCCACTATATGTAACTTCATATGTAGACCATTTTGATGAGTCTCAGATTTGTAGCTCTACTTCTGCTCTCCCAAATTTGTACCCTAACTCCCACCTGCCAGGCATTTTTCAATTTATGTAAGACTTATCTAGATACCCTGAGCTGTGATATTTGACTCCATTATTTCTTCTTCTTTGACCCTCTACAATCTCAGACACAGCATTGATAAAGATAGGAAAACGTCTATATAGTCCTAGCATTAAGGACATTGGGAGCAGTACGTCTCTGTAGGTACTGGCAGGGCTTCTGATTGCTAGTAGACAAGCAAAGTAACTGCAAGTGGAGTTACTGGTATTCATTGCTCTTCATATCTTTCCAGAGCCCAATTTGTATGATGTTTTTCCATTATAAGAATTAGTTCTATATGTTTGAATTCGTTTTCACCTCCAACTATTCTGTGAGAAAAGATGGGATGATAGACAATGACTGGCCCAAAGTCACCCAGAATCAACCCTACAGGGTAGTCCAGAGTAAGAAATCAATGTCATGTAAGTCAGAACTACCTTTATTGTAACACTAACAAAATCTTGCAATGTGCTCCCCCTTGTGTAAACTAGTGAGTAGTTTCTCTGAGACATTTTTCTCAAGTTAGTTTATTGGCCTAGGCTCGAGGCCCACTTATCTGACTGGAGTCTTGATATCAGCTCTTTCTTTTGTCTGTTAAGGCCATTCCCTATTCCCTCTATACCCACGAAACTTCCACAGCTGAGCATGGACCTAACCTGATTTACCTATATCTAGCCCAATTCCTTAGCCACTGTACTAGTGTTGGCATTAATGTGATGAAACAGTAATATACAATGAAGTAAAACATAGTAAAGAAAAGAAATAAACAGATAAGATAAAGATACAATGTCTGAGAATTTTTTAAAAGAGTATTTTCATCAAATTAGAAAACATGTGCGAAAATAGAAATGATTGTGCATAATGACAAAGGACAGAAAACAAAAACAAAACAAAACCTGAAGGCAGGTCAAATTAGGAAAATAAGAAATTTCAAAGTCTGAGCATGAGCCTAAAGAAAATCACCTCTTTTGTAATATCTAGAGACCAGTTAGATGCTCATGCCAAGGAAATATTATTGATTCTGTGTCTTGAATTTTTTTGGAAATTATATTTGGACTAGGAATTGCAACCTGTTTTACTCTGACTTTGCCATCGATGCACATGCTTTATATACATAGGATATGGTGAAAAACCACAAAGCTGATAATAGGTGAGTTAGGTCTGGATACATAGTTTGTCTATCAAACTATGAAATTAAATATAATCAAAAGTGATGAAATCTTTTGAGCTAAAACTGGAGTGAGGGAATGCTATTTGAGAGATTTGTACAGCAATATTAATTAAAACTGAAACAACTGTTTTAAGAAATAACTGATGAAAAGAAAATCACAAATGGTGTGAAAAATGATAGCACTGCACACATATAACAGCAGAAATGCTAAATATATGGATGTAATTTGCTTATTAAGTAGATATGCAGTGTAAATGTGAATGTGCGAAAAAAGCTCCTATGCCTCATACTTGATATGTTTTTATTCTCATAGGAAATACATGGGAAAATGTAGCAAAAGTGAATGCAAAAATGATTTGAGAATTAATTTGTTAAGGACACTTGAAAAAGTGACAGAACCTGATTGAGAGAATATAAGGAGACAATGAACAAAATTGATTTAGCATAGCGTGGTTTTATATTGGTCAAGAGGTGTACAGAACATTAAGAAAACTGGAAATGTGAGACGTTTATTGTATATTTGTTCATATACAAAGCTTATGATAAACCAAATAGGCCTAATCCAATACAAAACAAGTACACATGATGCTCATTACATTGTTTAATGTATTTATGGATAAATACATAGGGAAAAGGTGGTAGTTACATTAGAAATGTATTGGTTGGGGTCATGAGTGTTTGCATACTTTCAATGCAGGTGAAGTTCTATTGTTAGTCAAGAATCCAAACAATTTGGTCACATAGAGAGAATGAATAAATTGCAAAATGATGATATAAAAGAAAAGTACTGAGAAGAAGAAAACTGAGGAGACTGGATGGAATTGATGATTTCTCAAATGGACAAAGGGTAAGAATTTTAAATAACAAAAGACAATGTAATAATTTATTAATGGATGCTGCAGCCATACTTTGCAAGGATATAAAGATATGGAAAAGTGTAGTGAATGATGATGGAAATGAGACTTAATTAAGTATCTTTCTTTCTTTTATCTCTTGCTTTTAATTTCTTCTGCTTACTATGCCTTACTCTTTTTCTGTCCTTTGCAGAATGTTGCTTACCTTCAAAGATAATTCTATGATGATGGATGCAGCTTCCAACAGATTTGCTTTCAGCTTTAGATTTCCAAAACTCACTTTGCAGGCTATGACTAAGGAATAGTTCCAAATGTACAGTATCCCACAAGCTGCTGTACTACAAAACAACGCATACCTCTTGGTTGTGTATTCCTTAGTTCAGGGGTGTCAAACTCGATTTCATTGAGTGCTGCATCAGGGTTGTGTTTGGGAGCTGGGGTGGGCTTGGCCAGGATGGGCGTGGCCAGCTCAACATCACTCGTGTCAGGGGCACCTGTGGTGGCCTGAGCACTCTGCCAGCGAAAATGGGCTCCCGAGCTCTGTTTTCACCTACCACAGCTTCCTGCAATCCTCTGCCAGCGAAAATGGAGCTTGGGAGAGGTGCAGGTGGCCCTCTGAGCTCCATTTTCACTGGCAGAGGTACTGTGGGCCAGTCCTTCAATGTTTCCAAGGTGGCCCCCCTGGGCTGGATCCAGCCCCCAGGCCTTGAGTTTGACACCCCTGCCTTATCCGAAAGTGTTTGCTTATAGGTGGTCCTGTATCTAAGTGATGCCAATGCCCTCATGAAGCATAATGGCTTTGTCCAAGTAATTCTGCACAAATCCTATGACACTTACTGAGCCCATAGTCTGCTTCATCTGGATCGCTGTCGTGTTTCCGCCATCTACAGCATATGTGCTGAAATATCATGGTCATGTGACTGAAGATGATTAGTGGAGGGGGTAAGACTGGTCTTTCATGGAAGGTCATAATAAGCTGATATCTCTGAAACTTCCATACCTGGTTTGATATAGACTTAACTTCGAAAAACGTGTTGCTGAAATAGGAATAGAAAAAGGAACAGGCTTTTGATCAAACAGCTGAAATTTGCATATGCAACTTTGGGATCTGTTCTATACATTGAAAAACAGTAAATTTTAGAGTGTATGTACAATTAGCATCTGCGGTCAATTCCAGCACTCTTTTCGATGGACTATTCATAACTGTATCTGTTATGTTTACATTGCTATACTGTTTATTTTACTCATATACAACATTTTTGATTTCTGCATAAAAATATTAGGAGGTAGTCTACTTCTAAAAGAAATATCTATTCACTTAGGCATTTAAATGTAACTGCTATAAGAACCAAGTTTCCAAGATTTTCCTTTGATTAGCACTGGGCATCATCTTAGGTTATTTCAGCAGCATGGATGAAACACCACCACAACCTCCATTCTTTCCCACTTCACTAATACAGCCAGAGGACCTCAAGTTCAAATAAAGGCACTGAAATGCTGAGTTAAATCTGGACTTGGGGGAAAATTGTGAGGTGACTATCTTGTTTGATGGCATCCAGTAGAAGACTGTCCCTCATTACTGAGATAGATAACTGGAGAGTACAACTCAGTATTTTAACTCATGTCTTTGTCAAATAAACCAGGTGTCTTTTACAGGCTTACTGCATTGAAACTCTTGGCACTACTGGAGAGCCCTGCTTATTCTGTAATTACCAAACTATTTTGGCTGCTAATACTCGCCTTGCACCTCTACCTCAAAATTGCTAACTTTGTATCAGCCTGAAAGTTTTATCTTTAAAGGATATCTTCAATATGCCAACTCCTTCAGGTAGAAAATAGTCTAGGATAGGAAATAGAACAGGAAACACCTCCTGATATTAGTTGATTGAGGCATGTATATTGGAAGAAGTGTTCAATAGAGGTTCTTTTTTAAAAATTCAATCTGCTCTCCACTGCTTGATGCATCCAAAATAACTGAAAAGAAAAATGGACTGAGGAACAAGGGTTAATTGCCTCTTTTGAGCACTTTTTGACTTTGTCAACTTAAAGCTATCTTGAGGTATATATTTAAAAATAATATAAATTGGAAATCTTTATTTGTTTTCCTCATCATCTCTAGCTGGGAAGATTAAATTTTACCCTAAAATACAGGCTTTTCTTATTCAGAAGTAAAATATAGTTCCATCTATTTTTAATCAGTTTATGAATTTAAAGCTGATTGAATATGAAACACAGTGAATTTACCTATAACACAATCACAACTTTTATACTATATGTTTATTTGTATAACTGGGTGTTTTTGTGCTGTAGAACTGGACAAAGTTTCTTCAGAATGCATAAATGTAGCCTCTGTCTGCAACTCTTTAAAACAGCTACATCTTTGTCAAGGCATACATAGTGCCTATAGAAATAGTCATGCAATCACAGGAATAGTAGTCCGTGGTTAATGTCTATGGAGATCCTCATTCATCCAGGTCATGGTCGTTTCAAAGGTGCTTTTTGAAGAGGCAACTGGACTTTCTGGAAATTTCTTCCAGAAGCATCCAAGAAGCTTCTTAGACAAGAAGTGAAATGTCTTCAAAGAAAAGCCGGAAAGTCCAGTTAGTTCTTGAAAAAGCACATTTGGGAGAGTCTGCAGTTAATGACAACTTGTTCAGTGGCTAGTTATTCAAAGTTACAAGGGTGCTAAACAGAGGTGGGTTCCCACCGGTTCGGACTGGTTCAGCATCTTGGTTTTTTTTTAACCTACTGCGCATGCACGTCCATGAGCGAACCAGCAGTAGAAGCTGGAACCCACTTCTGGTGCTGAATGAATTGTTTGATTGGTTTTCCAGGTTTTGGCCATTGTAGTACCTGTAGTACATCTGTATTTCAAATTCTCTGGACATATACCCTCTGCAAAAGATATCCATGATTATGTACTCTAAAGCTCTGTCATGGAATACTTACATCTTTTACTATTGTAAATAATTTATGTTGGTAAATGCTTTAAGTCAGTCTTGTGCCAAATACTAAAGTTTGGCATTGCTGCTGTGGATGGAGGAGAAATATATAATATTTTATCAACTCACTTAAAAACTGCAATCAGTAAGTTCACCAGAAGGATGTTTGCAACCAAAAGATAGCAAGCCATTATGGCAGGAACGATCCATGCTCCTGGTTTGCAGGGAGGAAGCTGAATTATTTTACCATCTTCTCTAGTTTCGTTTTGACCGCAAGGAGCTGAGGAAAAACAGGTGAGAGGAGGTGAAACAAAATAAATTGTAATAAGAAATGATTGCAGAACATACTGTATTTCAAAATCTTAGAAATGTTTGGACATCTACCCTCTGCAAAAGATACCCATGATCAACGTACTTTAAACTCTGTCACTGAATACTTACATTGTTTGCTATTGCAAATAATTCCTGTTGGTAGACGCTTTAAAACCAGTCTTGTGACAAAAATTTAAAAGTTTGGCATTTCTGCCAATTTCTAGGTACTTACTATGTGCTTTGAAATTTAACTCTCTTAAATGTGCTAAGAACTGATAAAAACATCTGTGTGAAATGTGATTTATACCTCCATTTGCTTTTTTGGTAACTAGGATATATCAGTAGAATCAAACAAGAGTACATTTAAAAAAGGAACATTTGATGAATATAGTATATATGACTAATATATGTAGAATCACAATAGGATTTTTGTTTCTGCCTCATTTTAGTCCACTTTAGAATATTTAATAGTATTCTAGAATTAAATGTGGACAGGCAGGTAAGATTTATAGGCAACAGAGCAGACATTTTACTTTATTTTGTGTCATCAGCTGTTTGAAAAGAACAGAGGACAAAATGCATAGTTTTCTAGTGCTGATATAGTTTAGAAAGCTTGCCTCTTATTAATTAGCTGAAGTTTTAATTTGGGATGACTGGCTATTTTTGTTCACCCAAACAGCAACTACATTTCCTCACCAATACTGTAGATCAGTTTGCTACTTTTAGGAAGTGTCACTGTTGCAAGGAATGCTTTTCCTCTCCTACCCCTGGTTATTTTCTCACATATTCCCAATATAGCAGTGAATAAGGAGAAATTTGTACAACAAGAAAACATCCAGTAAATTAATCTGTTCAAGAAGTGAAAGAATGTTTAGCAGGTGCAGGTTCATTTCATATCACAGAATGCATGAGAAAAATATTGGCTCACAAAATAACCCCCCCCCCCCAATTAATAAAGATACTGAAGCTCAGATTGCTTTTGATCCTAGATGGGCAAATCTGCCTGGTGCAAATAGAAGAAAAGGAAAAGACAGTTCCATTGGTGAAATTTCTGAGTGAGGCATTGGTGAATTAAGACATCTCTGGAGAAGTGGAAATGATGCATTGGCAAAGACCAAAGAATCAGTGATGAACTTATCTAACAGAATATCTCCAGGTAAGGAGAGGCTCAGAGTTTGTCCACTTATGCTCCAGATGGCTATTCTTTTTGAGTAGACCCTGGAAGAGCAGTCAACACACAAGGCTGAGCAGTAGGAAGTAAGGAAAACCATCAAACTCTCAATCTTGGTGGAGCCTTTAAGACACTAGATCTCTCTACCTTACTTTTGAACATGGGGATGGTGGTGGTTCAACGATCTAAATATGTTTTCAAAGTTTAAGGAGAACTTCTAAGCAAAATGTTTTTTTAAAAACTATCTTGTGATGAGCGAAGAGAATATTTGTAGCTCAATGTTGAGCTGAATTGAACTGAACAGATAGCAGCAACGACCCCACATTACCTAATGAGTAAAACTTCATCCACTAAAAAAACTTAAAAATATAAAATAAAGGACAAAAAGATAAATAATGTAATTCAAGAAAGTTTTAAATAAAGGAACCAGAAGAATTTGGAATATTGGAACTTTTGCTAAGATTTGTGAAATAACATGATAATAAAAGGATATTTTGATGGAATCTAAATTGTTTAGTTTATCAGGTTAGAAATTATTGTTGAGATTCTATAGAAATTTGAGATTAAAGTTCCAAGTTGGGAAAAAAGAAAGAAATAAGCCTCTTATTTATTCTTTATTTTTAAGAATCCATATTTTATTATTTGAATGATTTGAAAGAAAAGTAGTGAAGCTCATACATTGACAGATACAGGTATGACACTAGATACATTTCAAAGGTTCTTTGAAGAATTGGGAGATAAAGTTAAACTGATAGTAATAATTACAGCTAATGCATTTCTTGAAAAAGGTTCTAAAGAGGAAATGGAAGAATTTACAGACTAACAGGTGAAGAGGTGAAACAAATTCCAGCTGTTATAGAAATGTTGGAAAATAGAGGAATTGTGGATTATGAAACAGAATTAAAATGGAAATACAAATTATGTAAAGAGATGAAAAATCCCAAGGACAAAGATTTTTAATGGGTTTACAAAAATGGATTTCTAAAAATTTTGAGATGGGAGGAAGAAAGTTTAAATGCAGATTCAACCCCACAATAGCAACTGTATGATGATATAAAGATTGAGATGGTTAGAGCAAAACCAATCAACCAGGAATAAAAAGTTGTTTGTTTGATCAGGAGTAAAATAAAATGTATTGCTGGAACTCTTTATGGACTTTTTGCCAGTACTTGGAAAGAAAAGACAATGATATTTAAATTTGTGAATGAAAAGAAGGTTTATAGTAAGAATTGGATTATTTTTATAATTTTATAAGAGGTGAGCAAACATTAAAGTTGCTTTTATTTGTTACTGAGAGGAGTGAATCATTTCTTAATATATCTTTTTCTATTTCCATTTTATTTCTTTATTTTCTTTAACTTTTTGCATTTTGCATTTCTTTTCTTTCTCCTTTTCTGTTTTTTTGTCTATATCGCTTTGTATTAACTTTGTACAATCCTTAATATAAGATGTTTTTAAAAAAATGATTTTTTCTTATAGGTGTAAGGGGAAAAAGAAGCAAAGTTCAAATTGCTTGTTTTCATCAGAATATTAAAAAAATCAGCTATGCTTGTTCATGATAATTGGTTTTGAAAAGTCAATAAAATATTATTTACTTAGTGTCAGATAATTTCTCTTTCCCGCCCACATCGTTCGTCTTTTTATGTCATGTTAATTAAATTGTTTCAATGGGTAATAAGTGACCCAATGGGCATCAGCAAAAGAATCAGGTGAATTCGCTGTGCCAACCTACGGTATATTATCAAGCTAGTTGTTTGATTTGAATCATAGATTAAATTATACCATTATATGGATGGATTATTTCTCTAGGAGCAGACTTTCAAAAGGGGCTACATTTGGATAGTGTATGGGCACACATATATTTTAATGAGCAATTTGTTTGAATCTCAGCACTCATAAAATATGATATTTTATTAATGTGTAAAATGAATACCTTAAAACTGAATGGATATTGAATCATCTTTATGAGCAAATGCATGACAAATTACAACATGCAATCAGTGCCTAATTATGGATAAATTTATTTATAAAACATCTCTCTAAAAATTACATCTGATATTAGTAAATTAATTCCGTCCTGAAAAAGGAATGGAAATATACACTGTGCAATTATTTCCACTATATAGTTCTAACAAAGGATTTAATTCACCAATATTTGATTTGCATGAGATTAAATTAACACCCTATTTTAGCTTTCCTTTTGAGTTTCAAAGGTTAGTTTCATTATACATTAAATAATTATAAATTAAATAAACTATGAAACTATTTACACGATCTGGTGAATAACAGATAATAAAATTTAATTATTAGGAAGATTTTATTTTATATTTATAAATTACAAAACCTGCAATGTATGTTTATGTTTTTCTTTTGTTCAAGCAACAGTCATTATTATCATCTTTTCAAAACATTAACAACATTTGAGAATAGTTAGACCTTTTCAAGAGATATCTCTATTAGACGAAAGCAATTCAGAATGCTCTGTCAATTTATTATTTATTTATTTATTTATTTATTTATTTATTTATTTATTTATTTATAAAATGTACTTGTTGCCATCTTGTACCCAACAACTCTAGGAGGTTGTACAACATAGAAAAACATTAAAATCATATGCTGTAAAAAACATAGGAGATAAAATCATGGATACAAGATAGCAAAGAGGGGAGCTGGGCACAAGGGGAGGTGGAAGTGGGATTGAATTTAATTAATCAGCCACCTCCCTCATTGGCTCCACACAAGCCATATGGTAGAGCCAAGTCTTGAGGCTTTTACAAAACATCAGGAATGTGGCAGCCAATCTCTCTTTAGAGGGTAAGATGTTCCAGAAGGCAGGAATTAAATAATAATCTTGATTTTGAAATAAATCATGTTTTGTTATTCGTCTGTACTTTTCATTCTAATAATTGAGCCTTCACATTAAACAGACTTTGGTTCTTGCCCATCCATTGACAAAAATACACTTTTATACGAGCTTTGCATATTTATTTTGATATTTATCTATTTTTGTGTAATTCTTCTATCCTCTTCCCCATTTTCCTATTTTTTATTCCTAACATGGTTCATTGAGTCTATAAAGTGACTAACACAGTCTTTAAAAATTGAACTGCTAAATTATAGGGAACTAAATCCAAGGTTTTTTTTTGGGGGGGGGCTTAATCTAACACTGTAACCTTCAGCCTCATTGATCCTTGGAGTAATCCAGTTTTTGAGATCATGAGAAAATCTATGATGTACTTAATTCTATTTTGTATCTCTAAAATAACCTATAATAGTTAGTGAGGATTGACAGGAAATGGGTTTATTTTGGAAAACTAGGAATATCAATGAATACGGATATCTTTTAGAATGGAGGCATGGTTAGCTTGCACAATTAATTCCTGTATTGGAATGAAATTTCTAACTTTCTTGGCTAGAACTGGTAAAACCAGAAATGTGCCCGTCTAAGACAATACAAATAACCTTGCTCAGTGGTGGGATTCAAAAATTTTCACTACCGGTTCAGTGAGCATGGCTAGGTGGGGGGGCATGTGACCCAGTGGGTGTAGCCAACATGACATCACTCACGCCCACTCAGTCACATTTCCCTCCCCCCACCTAGCCATGCCCACAGGAAAAGATAGGAATTTTTTTAGGATTATTCCCTATTTACTCCCACCCTCCCTTTGCTAGTCACCCCCATTTCCCCGCTTCCTCCCCCACCACTGCCTCTTTGGTTGCTTACCTCCCATGGTGGCTGATCCAGTCTGGAAGGCAAGCTGACTGGAGTTTTCGGTGGCCCCCATCTACTGCCACTG